GCAGGAAAGAGCCAAATGGCTGTAAAAGAGCCTACCTTCCCCAAAGGCAGTTTGGTTCTTCTGGGTTACATTTTATTCCCAATGGCAATAAATGCCTTGGCAAGTTCTTACACCTGAAGAACAGTGAAGCTATGTTCAGAACAAAGAATGCTTACACAGGACAATTTAAGCCCAGCTTCTTAACCCTTTGGCTAGCAGGGTCTCTCAACACAAGAGAAGAAGAAACTGAGTCACAAATGTTGTGGAGTCCACACAACGAAATCGCGTAAACCTAAGTGGAAAATGACGTGATTAAATTTTGTGCAATTTCTTCAGCAAATGAGCCCTTCCGTAACTGCTTGCAATTCAAAACTTGTTTTTCAAACTGTACAGATGTCTTTCTTTCCTGAATCAGGACAAAACGTTTTAACTGCATTTAAAAAAAGAACATACCAATAATCTTAATACGCAAGACCACTACACAGGAAGTGAGCTTTGGGCCATACCTGAAATGCACCTTGTTCACAGCCACAGTGGCTGAATGTACCTAAATGCCTATGGCTCTGATGATTCAAGATATTGCTGCTGTCAGGCGGCTGTTACCACCTCTCCACACAGGATAGACTGGGCAAGTACTTCTCATTTCAAGGTTTCTCTTTGCTAAACTTGAATTAAAGCAGATCATTTTGTGCTTCAGCACAAAATTAAGTGAGCACCGATAGTCCATTCAATTGGCTCCAAACGTGGGTAGTGACTTCCAGCTAAAGAAGCAGTAACACCAAAAACCATCACAGCTAATTCCGCAGCATTCATCTCACAAAAGCCTCTGTGGCTCTAGGATACAGTACCTGCAGTTATTTCGCTCAAGTCTGAAGTCAGATACTCTGTTAACAAGTAATTAGAGTTGCTGGGGTATTATGTGATTGTAAGGCTGGGGTAAATTTTTGAAACTAAAATTGTTCTCAACTTTAGTTTGAATTCCTGTGAGAAGGTAACATCTTAACAAAAAGTTCCAGCTATTATTGGCACTAGAATACTTCTATCTATAGAGTAATGCTAGTATTCTGTACGGCACAGCGGATTTGTACCAGAAAAAGAGAGAGCTAATTAGGCTGAAACGGCATTGCTTTTCCTTGTCTGCTACCTCCAGTCACTTTCTACTGAGTCCAGAAGGCAGTGGGGTGAGAGATCGCAATGCTATCTGCATACTACATATAATAATTTTATGAGCCCTTCGCTTAAATATTAATTTAAACAAATATTCGACCTGTTTTTTTGCAGCTGCCCTTCTCATGTCTTGTAAAGCTTTAGGAAAACATTAATAAAAATCTATCCCTCTGCAAAGGAACAATACCATCCCTTGACAAAGGAAGTACACAATAAACCGACAGCAGCTTTTGGTAACAGTCAAAGGGATGATAAAGGTCCCCCCATATGCATTTAAGGTCTGACATGGATCCGCTAATGAGATTAGAAGAACAACTTTTACTTTTTAAGCAAGTCCTACCTACTGAAGAAAGAGGTGTTGAAATCTGTATGCTTTTGAGGTTAAGCAGACAGATAAGACAGTTTGAGGAGCGTTCTGCACTTAGCAGGCCCTGAAAACCCATGGATTTAGTCCTCAACAAGCAACCTGACAAGAGGGCTGTGCTACGGCTGGACTGACTTAATAATGACAGTAAGATCACCAGCTTCAACCAGACCAGTGTAAAGTTCCTTCAGAAAGCTCATTGCATAATTACCTACACTAATTCCCAGCCCACAGAAGTTATTCAAATCAGGAGGCCATAATGCTTCCTGGTTCCCTCAAAAGCCCAGGTACCACCTGACTCAAATATCGGGAAGTCCACAGGGTGCTCTGTTGAAGTCGGACTGAACTACTCAGACAGAGCAGTTCTTTCCAATAGACGCTGATGCAGAAGCACAGTTAAAAACAAAAACACGAAAAGAAATCCAGTCTGTAGCAAAGACCAATGTTACAAACCAAAGCAGAGCAAAAGAATCTTTTCTTTTTATTTATGTCCCTTATTCAGTGAAAGGAGTTCACAGATATTCACAGTAATAACATCTTGCAAAAGTTCATGCGTTATTAGCATTAAAATGCTTTTCATTTAATTGTGTCAAAGTACAGACCACAGCATCCTCAGGATCAGCTCTGAGGTGCAAGAGTTCAAGCTTGCTTTCTGACTAAAGCTTTAACTACATTCATTTCAGTAAATGAATACCTGAAAATACCCTGTTATGACTTTGGAGGCCAAATCATTAAGTTAAAAAGTAGGATTTACTAATAAGAAGACTATAAATTAATCTTAAGAAAATAAAAGATTTATAAAATATTTTTATAAAAATCTTTCCTTATAGATATGCAGTGTATATATTTAGCACTTTAGAATTAATGGTAATTTCTGGGCATCATCATCATATCCCATCACCTCTGTACCCCACATGTGCAAGTACAGATTAGTTGATCCCAAGCTGTTGTTACCAATTCCTACTAAAGCTGTCATCCTTCATAGCTTTTACCAGCCAGTCCCTTTCTTTCTCCTCATCAGAGTCACTCACATCACTGGAATCGGCAGCCAGGAGACGAGAATAGTTAATTTTTTTCTGCCGAGGCAACTTAGACTGGACGATTAAGAACACGCATAACCAGAGTACCAGGCACACGCAGCATGCCCTGTACAAACCCGCCAGGCCAAAGTTCGCCGCAACAAATCCCCCTGCAAAACTCCCCAGGCTCGCTCCTCCGCCGTGCGAGAGGCCTCGGAGAAGAGCGCGCAGGGATCTCTCCGTCCCGGGAGTGGCGATGTCATTGACTGTGACGTTAACTGCCCACCACAAAGCACCATTGCTAAAGGCAGATAAAACCTGGATAAGGAGAACTGACCATGCATTCCACAGGAATGAGTAGTACAGAAGCTGTGCCGCCAGGCAGCTGAGGCTCAGTGCGACAACACCACTGCTCGAGAGAGTCCTCAGTAGCTTGCTTTTGAAGAAACAAAGCAGAAGTTCAGCAATTAGTGCAACAGCCACAGCGAGCCCCATGTACATCTCACTGCTGCCTTGGTCCTGCATCTGCCAGAAGAGAAAGTTGTGCACTGCTGACCCAGCCACGCCAGTAAGGAAGACGGTCATGGCAGACAGGATCGCTCGGCCATCGCTTCCTATGAGGTTCAGGGCTTTAGCAGTTTTGTTCATGCGCTTGGTTTTCTTGGGGATATGGACTGGCAAAAAGACGCTGGCAAGCAATGACAATGTCATCAGGAGAGCATAGCCATAGAAATGGACGGCGAGGCGGGAGATGTTACTGCTGAGGAAGCAATTCAGCTGATCCACAAATATGGCGACGCTGCAGGCTCCTACAGAGGCACCCAAGCAACTCCAAACCCACAGCTTTCCATACCCGTCAGTCGCATCGACCAAGTCGAGATATTCATAGAGACTCTCATCAACTGTCCATTCGAGAGGGGAAGCCAACAACTCCCAGAGCACGACGGTACCTAGCACCATAAAAAAAATGTGACGCTCTCTGTCACGAAAGACGGTGTTTTGCACCACCATGCCAAAGCTGACACCTTGGGCCTCTTTCCAGCGATCCAAAAGGTTTTCAGGGGCATAAGCATCTCCAGCTGTAGAAAGATGTGTTTTAAATAACGGGAACTTACGGTTTTCACTAACGGGAAGGCTTTTTTCAGGATTATCAGCAAGATCCACTGCTACAGTACCTGGACTGCTCGTTTCTTCCTCGAGTCGAAGTAACAGGGGTCTGTAGGGCGCAGGCGTTTCCGGCGCGTGCGTCCCCTGACTAGTTGCTTTCAGAGAAGTCGCCAAGCCAGAGGGACCAACAGCGTAGCGGTCTGTCCTGGCGTCACCTTCGCCAAGTCCTCCGTCCTTCTTCTCGAGCGTATCTCCAAAGCCAAGCGCTTCTCGGAAGGCTGAACGCGCTAGCGTGGCCTTTACGCCTGTCGCCACAGCGTTAGCGGCCGCTTTTGACGTTCCCTCAGGCGCGGTTCTGGCGGCGGTGACGGC